CATACCTCAATATCATAAAAGCCATCTATGAAAAACCTACAGCAAATATTATTCTCAATGGGGAAAAACTGAGAGCTTTCCCCCTAAGGTCAGGAACGCGGCAGGGATGTCCACTATCACCACTGCTATTCAACATAGTATTGGAAGTCCTAGCCACAGCAATCAGACAACAAAAAGAAATCAAAGGCATCCAAATTGGCAAAGAAGAAGTCAAACTCTCACTCTTTGCAGATGATATGATACTTTATGTGGAAAACCCAAAAGACTCCACCCCAAAACTCCTAGAACTCATATAGGAATTCAGTAAAGTGGCAGGATATAAAATCAATGCACAGAAGTCAGTGGCATTCCTATACACCAACAACAAGACAGAAAAAAGAGAAATTAAGGAGTCGATCCCATTTACAATTGCACCCAAAACCATAAGATACCTAGGAATAAATCTAACCAAAGAGACAAAGGATCTGTACTCAGAAAACTATAAAATACTCATGAAAGAAATTGAGGAAGACACAAAGAAATGGAAAAACGTTCCATGCTCATGGATTGGAAGAACAAATATTGTGAAGATGTCAATGCTACCTAGAGCAATCTACACATTCAATGCAATCCCCATCAAAATACCATCCACTTTTTTCAAAGAAATGGAACAAATCATCCTAAAATTTGTATGGAACCAGAAAAGACCCCGCATAGCCAGAGGAATATTGAAAAAGAAAAGCAAAGCCGGTGGCATCACAATTCCAGACTTCAAACTCTATTACAAAGCTGTCATCATTAAGACAGCATGGTACTGGCACAAAAACAGACACATAGATCAATGGAACAGAATAGAGAGCCCAGAAATGGACCCTCAACTCTATGGTCAACTCATCTTCGACAAAGCAGGAAAGAATGTCCAATGGAACAAAGACAGTCTCTTCAACAAATGGTGTTGGGAAAATTGGATAGCCACATGCAGAAGAATGAAACTGGACCATTTCCTTACACCACACACAAAAATAGACTCCAAATGGTTGAAAGACCTCAATGTGAGACAGGAGTCCATCAAAATCCTAAAGGAGAACACAGGCAGCAACCTCTTTGACCTCAGCCGAAGCAAGTTCTTCCTAGAAACATCGCCAAAGGCAAGGGAAGCAAGGGCAAAAATGAACTATTGGGACTTCATCAAGATAAAAAGCTTTTGCAAAGCAAAGGAAACAGTTAACAAAACCAAAAGACAACCGACAGAATGGGAGAAGATATTTGCAAATGACATATCAGATAAAGGGCTAGTATCCAAAATCTATAAAGAACTCATCAAACTCAACACCCAAAGAACAAAGAATCCAATCAAGAAATGGGCAGAAGACATGAACAGACATTTTTCCAAAGAAGACATCCAAATGGCCAACAGACGCATGAAAAAGTGCTCAATATCGCTCGGCATCAGGGAAATCCAAATCAAAACCTCAATGAGATACCACCTCACACCAGTCAGAATGGCTAAAATTAACAAGACAGGAAATGACAGATGTTGTCGGGGATGCGGAGAAAGGGGAACCCTCCTACACTGTTGGTGGGAATGCAAACTGGTGCAGCCACTCTGGAAAACTGTATGGAGGTTCCTCAAAAAGTTGAAAATAGAGCTACCATATGATCCAGCAATTGCACTACTGGGTATTTACCCCAAAGATACAAAAGTAGGGATCCGAAGGGGTACGTGCACCCCGATGTTTATAGCAGCAATGTCCACAATAGCCAAACTGTGGAAAGAGCCAAGATGTCCATCGACAGATGAATGGATAAAGAAGATGTGGTATATATATACAATGGAATATTATGCAGCCATCAAAAGGAATGAGATCTTGCCATTTGCAACGACGTGGATGGAACTGGAGGGTATTATGTTGAGTGAAATAAGTCAAAAAGAGAAAGACATGTATCATATGATCTCACTGATATGAGGAATTCTTAATCGCAGGAAACAAACTGAGTGTTTTTGGAGTGGGGGGTGGGGTGGAGGGATGGGGGGACTGGGCGATAGACACTGGGGAGGGTATGTGCTCTGATAAGCGCTGTGAATTGTGCAAGACTGTTGAATCTCAGATCTGTACCTCTGAAACAGATAATGCAATATATGTTAAGAAAAAAAAAAGAAGAAGAAGAAGAAGGTAGCGGGAGGGGAAGAATGAAGCGGGGGAAATCGGAGGGGTAGACGAACCATGAGAGATGATGGACTCTGAAGGGCAGGCAGGGTTCTAGAGGGGAGGGGGGTGGGAGGACGGGTTAGCCTGGTGGTGGGTATTGAGGAGGGCACGTTCTGCATGGAGCACTGGGTGTTATGCACAAACAATGAATCATGGAACACTTTATTTAAAACTAATGTTGTAATGTATGGGGATTAACATAAGAATAAAAAAAAAAAAATGCGTGTTGAAAGCCACATGTCAAAAAGGTTATATTTATGAGTAACAACTGGTTTCCATAAGCAGGACAAAATCATTTCATAGGAACATGTTTCTAAAGTAGGCAACACAGTCACAACACATTTGGCCTGTCACACTTGAAAAGCACTCTGTTAAAATCTAGTCTCGTTACATAAGAAAACTGAATCTAAAGTTGGAGGTAACAAATGACAAAAAAAATTTAGGCACCGGTGACAGAGGACACCCTTCTTAACATTCCTTTCATAACTCTCCTAAAGTGCCTTTTGTATGCAGTACAACTTTTCTCAAGTACTTCTGAGCCACCCACCTTGGAAGCTCTGTGGCAGACACCTGCTGAACCAATGCTCTGCAACCTTGGGGAGTGAAGATATAAATTTAGGTTTGCAATGAGATAGGCGTATACAACTCATCTACATCCTTTTCTTCCTCTAGAAATAAGGAAAATAAGGAAGAATAAATTGTATTTGATTATATAGTCTTACTCCACTTCACTTCTCCCAATTATTATTCCAACTTTTACCAATCACTTAAGAAAGGGCTACCTTGCATTTGCTTAACCCCCTTCCCCATAATCCTTTCCTCCGAACACTGGAAGACAGCGAGCCTAGGTATCATTCTTGTTCACTTTCCCTGATCACTGTGTGTTGCTGCTGTGGAATTAGATGAACTCAATACTTAAGCATCAAATTGTATCACCTCGGTCACATCACAAATACTCCACATGAAATAGAAAATCAGTGGGGGTGCCTGGGTGGCTCAGTCGTTAAGCGTCTGCCTTCAGCTCAGGTCATGATCCCAGGGTCCTGGAATCGAGCCCTCCATCGGGCTCCCTGCCTGGGGGGGAACCTGCTTCTCCCTCTCCCACTCCCCCTGCTCGTGTTCCTGCTCTAGCTCTCTGTCAAATAAATAAATAAAATCTTAAAAAAAAAAAAAAGAAAGAAAGAAAAAAATAGAAAATTAGTGGTAAATATTATGGCAAAGTCTCCCAAAATTTACTTAAAGAAATTTGCAGGTCAGGTTCTAAATCACAATACTGATTTTAGGAGAGAGATGTTTCTATTTAAATCAAGTTCAGTCAGCATGACTAAACAGCTGCCTGGGGCCTGGGTGCCATGTGGCCAGACAGGGCTCATCAGCCACTTCCAGAGGCACCCGAGCTGGTGTTGAGCTCACACTACGAGCCTCAGCCCAGCATGAAGGCAAGATTATGAGGCAGTTTTCACACTTACATAGATCAAAGTAGCATAGTGAATATTTAGAACTACATCCTGCATGGGCTCCACAGTGGAATAAATCCTGCTGTTTTCCATCACGGTGGACACTGCCCCCCACCACGCTCAAGTATTGTTCTCTCGAGAGCTGTGCGCACTGCAGTTCTCAAGGAAATGCAGCACTCAAGCTTTTCACCTTTATTCTTCCCAAAGCATTTCATTTTAATGTCAGCTAACAATAAAAAATCAAAGAAGGCAGCTCTCCCACAAAACCCATGGAACTAGCATGTGAGTGATAGAACTGACCACACTTTTATCAGCCTGCAATTAAAATTTCATGAAAAATCTTTCAATAAAATGTTACACGGAGTACATTTTTAAAAGCAGCGCTGGCTCTCATGTGTGTAGAAAAACAAATATTCACTAACACAGACACTTCTGACAGACAAAACGGGTCACAGCTGTTTGTTACTCCTTGAAGTACAGCAAAAATGAATTTTGTAATATAATCTGAAGGAACTCCAGGCCCTCTATAATTCATATTTTTAAGATTCAAACCCACATTAAATACTGCACCATTCAACATAAACATGACAGAATATTTCCCCTAATTTTTCTGTTAACGTCAACTTGATAAGAAATGTTTAAATGCTAAGAGGATTCTAGTTCAGAAAATACCTTCATGCTTTTTACTAATTGAGATACAGTTTATGTGTTTATTATCTGTTTACAAAAAAGAATTTAAGGTGGCCTTTTACAGTATTAACTGTTTCTCAACAGTCTGAGACAAAAATTATTTTAACTAGAAAAAAAACATTTAACCAAAAATGGCAATAAACTGGAATCTTTCAGTTACTGCTTTGACAAGACAATGTTTTATAAAAATCATTGCCTATTTCTTCTAAATAGGACAAATACTAAGATTTTTCCTATCAATCATTCCTTTAATAATTCTGTTGCTATCCTTATAAAATAAAAAAATAAATGATAATGTAACTACAAGGCTTAGTTTGCAATTTTTCCACTGTATAACTTAGTCACATTAAAAAATCACTCCACATTCCCTCTTATGTAGTTATATGTGGACAAATGGTGAACAGTTTTATAGCTTAAAATATAAGTGAGGAAAATATAGACATCTGCCATACCAATAGCTGGTTTTTATTTTTTTAAGAAAAGGTTATTAATTTAAAAAGAGAGTTCTAAGAAATGTAATAGGATTCCCAGCAATGATGACTTCTGAGATCTATGAGATTTGAAATGTAATTATAAAAAGGCTAAAATCCAAAGAGCATTTCTACTTTTTTTTTTTTAAAAAAATCCAGATGATTTGTCACATCAAGGAAGTCTGGCACATTACCAAGGCCATAGTCTTAGTCATCCTCAGAATCGCTACCCCTTCTTGTGGGGATGGAGCACCTCATTGAGGATAGCAAAGCATCTTCAACTGGTTTCTTAGGGTTTTCCTCCAAGTCTGTCTTGATTGCTCCAGACTCTGACAGTTTCCACTCCAACTCTATGTGATAAAGAAAAACCAGATTACCTAAGGCAGTTGGCATGGGACCCTCACCCTCAAGCCCATTAAGCCAGTTTTCTCTAAGCAGAAACTATGCAGTAACATTTGATGATAATTTTAGTGCTGTAATTATAAGGTACCTAGAAGGAAAGCAAAAAATCGGACCTTTAAGAAGGAAAACAAAATACTTTCACTTTTTCAGAAGAGGAGATCAAATGAGATACTATATATATATTTGAATCTATATGGTAACTAAAATGAAAAACAAAGACTAAACCTGTCTTCTAATGACTACAGTTTCTGGACTTGCACAATTTCCCAGGAAAGAAATCAGCATGAAACATTTAAAGGAAATACTTTTCACAGTCCTGCTGGCAATCTAATTTTAGTTAACAAAAGGAAATTTTTAGGCCTCATGTCCAGTATCTCAATCTATTACAGTCAAAGGATAAATGTATGATGACATCCTAGAACTTATACATTTGCTCCAAGTAATAAAAACAGTACCAAGAAAATAAAGAACCAGTGACTAAAGCCTTGGTTCCTGTATGTCACTCTCTTATAATCAATGAAACTCCACATGGGTGTGAGACCTTATGAAGTGAAATCAAGGGACGTCTTTTCCACTGCAGAAAAGACCCCAGGCAGAACTAAGGGACTACATAAGACACTCTACAGCAAAGAGACTGGTTTAAGTGATACTCTGCTAATTAGGTACCTCCATTAAAATATGACAACCAATTTTATTTAAGTCATATTAATTTAAAGTGCTCCATGAAGATGAATAACACCAGTATTTAAAGTTCTTGGTACCTCAGTTGAATGTTATGAAAATTCAACAAATTTCTTAAAAAAAAAAGAAGAAAAAGAAAAACCTTAATTCTGATTCTTGACTCAAGAATATATTTAGATCCACCATTCATATGTATTGGTGTAGGTATTAATGTTATTGTTCACTTACACACAATAATTATTATTTAAGTTCACTAATGCTCAGATAATACTTCTTCTAGAAATAAAGACAGGACCTCCTATCCTACATCCATCTTTCCCCTCATGGTACATTCAAAAGACCAGAGTAAGATGCAAGCATATACTTAGTTTGAAATGCAGTATGCCTCTGAACACTGGCATAATGCCTAACTGTTGTTAACGTGTGTGTATGTATGTGCAGAGATGTTAATACTTATCCCAGTTGAGTATCTTATATAGTTATATAAAACAGTATATAAAGTCATATTTTAACATATGTTTTTAAAGCACGGGTGGACATATTATTTCAATAATGAGTGACTTAGGAGGATGCCCTCGGGCCTCAGGTTCTCTCATGTTATAAGTGTATACATATTTTGACACCTTGTGTAACAGGTAGAAAGGAATAAAAAAAACATCCTTCAGGAATAAAAGGATACATCCTTCAAGAGTTAAGAGGCAGAACTCAATAACCTTTAATTTAACTTAAAAGCCACTAATATATTCAAATGAGAAAATATTCCCATAGGTATTATATACATATGTATGTGTATACACACACACACACATATAAATATCTATCATATAAATATCTATCAATAACTTGTTCATGTGATTTTTCTTTTTTTTTTTTTAAGATTTTATGTATGTATGGGGGGGGGGGGACATGAGCTGGGGGGAGGGCCAGATGGAGAGGGAGAAGCAGACTCCCCACTGAGCGGGGAGCCCGATGTGGGGCTCGATCCCAGGACCCCAGGATCATAGCCTCGAAGGCAGAAGCTTAACCAACTGAGCCACCCAGGCGCCGTTAATGTGAATTAAACAAAAAATGAAGGTTGAGCTATAACTTAAAATGTATCCAACTATAGGGACAAACAAAATATATTAGACATTAATATTAAATATACATACTTTAAAATCCAGTGTGCCCCCTTTTAACAGAATTATTAGAACCCAGTTATAACTGCTCGCAATGACTCATTTAATGAGAGATCAAACGTGTTTCTTCCCTTTTAGCAATCACTCACACAGTGGCAAAGATGACTTTGACAAATCATCATGACACATGTCTCTTCAAAAGAACCATCCCCTCATCATCTCTAACATGCACTGGTCATTGCTCACGTGCCCTGCACCATCTCAAAGAGGTCCTTACCCTCTATTGTCAGGTTCATGCCACCAAACACCAGAGGTCCAATAAATTGAGCCTTGATATCTCCTTCAAGGTAAACAAATACTGTAGGCAGATTCCTATCAGGATAATTGGGTATGCAGGTTGTTGAAATGGCTTTGATAAATTTGACATCAGGAAACTTCCTGGCAAGTCCACTGAAGTGCTGATTTATGAGGGCACAGAGGGGAATCCTGTGAAATAGAAATGGGAAACAATGGTGAGAGAGGACCCCTATAAAACAGAAATAGAAGCAACTATGATTCTGCATTTACACAGGGCAAAGCTCTACTACCCTTCTACCTACGTAAACCCTCATAATAGCTTCACAAGTGATTCTGCTACTCCAGCCAAGATGAATTAACACTTTTTTTTAAGAAACGTTCTAATATGTTCAGGGAAAATGAAGAACTCAAAATCCAAAATCCATTTTAATTTGACTCAGTAAGTCAGAAAAACAGCTTCAATGTAAAAGATAATTGTTTTGCCCATCAATATGAAAGAACATTCAAGATTCAGAAGGTGAGAAAAAGGTGAGAAAGCACTTCCTGCTTTAAAAAAAACCTCTACACAAGTACAGTAGAATACAGATGGAGCTGAGAAACAGTGGAGGGCCACTGCATCACTTGCCTGGAACAATTATTATAAAGGTCACCCCCCGACATCTATGAGAATGATTCACTACATGGAATTTTGAAATGTAGAGTTTCTCTAGAAGGATAAATAAGGAATTTGTTTCCAATAAAAGCAATCTTCATTGCTACAATGTAACAAAGGCATTCTTTTTAGTCACAAATATTAATTTTAAAGTCTGAAGACAAAAATTAGGCATTAGGTTTGGGCAAATCAGCAACAAAATACAACACTAGTAAAAAACAAAACAACACAAAACAACAAACCTCCAAAGTGGATTAAGCCCAAATTCAAATTAACATTTAAGGACAGTGCATAAGATCAGCTCACCCTTGTTTGTAAAGGTGCAAGATTACCCACAAGCCCTCACCGGCTTTGGTAACTTCTTGAACATAATCCTTTCCTGAGATCTCCAAAACTTCTCCAAATTTATTCTTCAGTTGAGTTGCTTTCCACTCAGCCAGTCTTTGCTGCCTGCACAGCACAAAGAGGAGAGAGACATCTTACACGTACACCCCACATATACACACACACCTTTCACACAGCAACCTTTATAAAGATCCAGGTTTATTTGCCACACAGCAAAAGTCTAAGATCACTTCACCAAGACCTGCAATATTACTACTTAATTACAGTCCTTTCCAAAAGTTATCTCGGTAAGAAAATTAACTTTGCAAAAAGACACACATTTTAGTGCCACACAAAAAACCAAACAGTCCCTCTGGGTGGCACTAACCTGTACATTTCAACAGCACGTTCATCTTCTTCATTAAATTCATCTTCATTATCCTCCAGCTCTTCCAAAGTCATATCTTCGTATGTTTTCACTGAATGTAGTTAAGTTAGCAAAAACCAAAAAATGTAAAAGATGAACAAACTTGCATTTTGTTTTCCCTCCTTTATTTTTCTCCTAAAGATGTGCATGCAACACCAAGCCAAAGTAAAACTCATTCACCAAAACCAAAATAAAAAATACTGAAGGTCTTCCACTAGTAAGAACTTTAGGGTGTTTTAAAAAGAACCATGTTGACAAATGCAGCAGGATTGACTCTCCTACCTCCACACAATAGTAAGGATATGAATGATAAGTTGCCTAAGTTTATAAAACCAGAGAATTGTATTTGCCTGAACTCACCTGGTCTGCTCTTCAAGCACATACACCCATGGACTGCTGTATTAACAGTTCTATCTCTGAGGGCAGGGGAGGATACCAGTGGGTGTCCCCAGCATACTCTTTCTAGAGTTAAAGGGATTATTGTCTTGGTCTTCTCTTGTGAATGGTAGGCAGCTCTCTTTTAACCAACTGCTGTAAAATCTTGATTTTTTATTGCCATAAGCATTCTTGCTTCTTGACATCAAATCAGATTTTTGTCCCCCAACCCCAAGTCTATCACTATACAAACTGCTCTTAGCAAAGTCAACAATGACCTCCACTTCCTGACTGATGAGCAGCACTGATCCAACCCACCACTGCCTCCTCTTTGAAAGATGGTCCTCCTCTAGCTTCCAGGATGTCTTCTCTCCTACTATCTCTACAGCTGCCCCTCCTCTGGACCTTTGCTGACCTGACTCCTTTTTTATCTATACCCACACCTCTGGTGATTGCATCTCATGGCTTTATGCCTCCAGCCCATATTTCTCTAATTTAGAGAAAAACATAGCCAACTGCCTACTTGCCATCTCTATTTGACTAATAAAAATTTCAATGTTTCTATGTCCTAAATAGAACGTTTGATCCTAGCTCCAAACTGTTGCTCACCAAGCCTTCCTCATCTCGGTTGGTGGTGATGGCTATCCTTCAGGCTGCTCAAGCCCAATGCCTGACAGGCATCCTTGACTTACTTTTTCTCACAGCCCTCACAGGATCCACCAGCAAATCTTATTGGCCCTACCTTCAAATTATTTCCAGATCTGACCACTTCTCCTCACCCCTTCCACCAACACCATGTGGGCAGGTCTAAGCCAATGGTATACTTCTTGCCTGAATTACTGCAGTAGTTTCCAGACTAATCTCCCTACTTCCTGACTTGATCCCCATCTTCCATACTTGGAAAGGCAGGAGCAGGAGGGTGCTGTCAGCATGTCAATCCTCTGTTCAAACCTCCAGTGACTTCTGTTCAAACCTCCAGTGACTTCCACCCGACCAGACATAAAAGCCAAAGTCTTTGTTAAAAGATACCAGGTCCTCAATGGTTTGACCCCTAGTTGCCTCTCTGAACTTACTACTCTTTCCTAGTCATACTGGCTTCCTGGCTGGTTCTCCAATGTGTTCTTCACTCACTTAAGTAGCTCAATTCAAATCCCTCGGATCTACTCAAATGTCACTCCCAGTAAGCCTCTCTCTAACGCTATCTAGAATTATACTCACCCTTCCCACAACCCTTTCTCGGCTATTTCCCTGCCTTATTTTCCTATATTTACTTATGTATTGCTATCGCCTTTCTCTCCCACTAGAATATAAGTCCTATAAAGACAGGGATTTTTGTCCAGCCTGTACATAGCTAAAGCCCCAATGCTCAGAATAACACCTGGCAGACAGTCATCATTCAATAAACATTCACTGGATAAATGCTTTCTAGTGAATCCATCTCTAAATTAGCTTTAACATGTAAGAAGACAAAAGTACTAGCCCCTGTGATCAGTGGGGCATTAAGTCAAGACTCAGAAATATTTTCTCCAGGATTATCATGTGCTCATCTGACACAGACAAGAAACTGTGGAGATGTGGAAATTCTATAGCCCAGCAAGTTGAAGGTTAGAGACAGCCTGTGACTCCCTTGAGGTCCCAGAAGAGTGTCCATCCCAGCACTCCAATGCCGGTTCCCAATTCCTGCTCAGAGCATCCTTCTACCAAAGCAGTTAGAGGCTATCTTAACCCAAAGAGAGACAAAACAAATAAAGAATATAAACAATCTCACCAATTGACTGCTGAAGGACTCGCTGTTCTTCTTCTTCTGCCTCCTTTTCCAAATCTTTCACACTTTCCTTTGAGGGCAAGATACCCTTTTTGCGTAAGATGTCATTCCACTCAGTGTCTGCATTGGGGTCCTAGTGGAAGTGGACCAAGAATACTATGAGTGCAAAGTCCATTATAAAGGGTGCTATGTTGGGGAAAGGTGGTGGGAAGAGGAATTCAAGTCAAATTATTCTATGGCCTATCTCTGAGAAAGTGTCAAAAGATCCACAGCCCCTATTCTTTTCCTGTCCTCCACTCCACTTCACCCTCCCCACACAAGACACACACACCCAGGAACTAGTCTTGGGTAAAAATCAGGATATGATGTGCAGATGGGCATCAATGCTCACACCAAGGCCCTAACCTGGCTCCTATTCAATTTTTATTAATGACTCAGTGACTCATTCAACAGATACTAAGTACTTGTGGCAAGTGCAATGATCAACAGGCTGTTGACCTAGAGAGTTATAAGGGGTCTGCATTCCACAGGATAGGCAGGGATATTCTCTCAGAAGTGGACATTTATTTAATCATCACTGGAAGTTGAGAAGGAAGCGGACGTGAGGAATGAGAACTTAAGAACTTACTTTCCAGGCAGAGGGACCAGCATGTGGAAAGGGCCCAAGAGCAGAGATAGGAGGCTCTCAAAGTTCTAAGTGGCTGCAATAGAATCAGGAGGAGGAGAGCCTGAAGGCAGGCTGACAAATTCTCTAATGGCCCAAACCTGAGAGGGAGAACTGAGACCCTGAGGAACAGCTCACAATGCCTAACACTTACTGAGTACTAGGTGCTGGGCACTCTGTGAAGCCCTTTACCTGTACCTACTTAGTTAATCCTCACAAGCCTAGGAGAGACATGACATTTAGAAGACACTGCCATGCTGGAACAAGTCAAATTTACCAGGATCAAATGTCAGAAGGATAAATGTCAAAGTGGGCTCTATTTCCTGAAGCCAGCTAGCCAAACACTGGTTTTGCTTGGCTTGGCAGGAACACTGCTAATGGACCGGGTTTGGAATAAGAAATCAATGAGCGCTGTGGAAAGGGCACTAGCACAGCCAGGCTCCAGCCCCAACTCCATGTCACTGTCTTGCTGAGCTGTATCAAAAGAAAACGAACAGAATCCTTTCAACAGGGTGGTCAGGGAAGGCCTCTGAAGAGATGACATTTCCAAGCAGGGTCCTGAAGGATAGAGAATACAAAGGAGGCCAGGGCAGCCCAGGAGCTTCCCCTTCAACATTGAAGAGTGTCTGGCTTCTGGCAGACAGACTGTATTTGTAGATGCTTATCCTCTCCAGCTCCCAAGGCCTCCTGTCCCAAACCCGTACTAACTCTATTTCTCATTGGCCACTAAGCCAGAGACGATTTAACCAGAATTCCTGACTACAGTGAAGTCTGGGAAGCAGGAGAATGACCTTTGACAGAGGGTCCTTCGACAGTGACAGAATTTAGTTGTCACAGATTTTTGTTAATTCCCATGATGTCTTCATTTATTTTCTTTCATTTTTAGTCCTATTAGACAATTCCTGATACAAAAAAAGGGGACAAAACTAGGGGATTTGGTTTTATCTATTTTAAGACAGAGAGTAACAAAGGAGAGGGACCCTAGGGATGAGCTCTGAGAGCCATGGAATCCGAGAGGGAGCGCACCTCAACCTGCACATCAACGTTAGGGGGGAAATGGATGTTAACTAAACCTTCACCCAGCTCTAAGTGGACTCAGGAACATAAGCTCCGCCACGGTTTTACGTTATGAGACCTCCAGGCGGGACCCTTCCCTTCTTCGAGCCTCAGCTTCCATATCCACACAACGTGCCCATAACACACTCAGGAGCTAAGAGAATTAAGGAACAGGAAGTAACACTGTCCGGTGGGATGCTGCGAGTCCTTCACAGACTTCACGGGATCCGACCTTACAGAAAGACGGCCCCAAAAGACTGAGATTTGAGGGGTGAGACACACACGGTTGGGGAGACCCAGCCCGCGGGTCCTTGCCGGACCACGCCTGCCCTGTCGCACTGCGCCTGCGCTGGGCCTAGACTCGCGTGATCTTTCGCGTGCCGGTGGCGCCCGGCGCTTCCCACGGTCCCAACCCCGACGGTCCGCTGCTGCCACGGACCCAGGGGACAAACGAGCTGCGGTAGATTCCAGGCCTCGGACCCCCAGGTTCTTTACCTGCATCTTGTCTAAAACCGCTCAAGTCAGGCCACAGCGGCGCCCCCACCCCGCCTCTTCTGCCAGCCCGGCCTTCGCCCCGCCTCCTAAGGGTGAGCAGGGCGGAGCCAGGGAGTAAGCGAGGTCTCTGAGTCTGCGCCCGCTCCTCAAGAACCGGGGCAGAAACTGTGCGCATGCGCAAGGGGGTGCTGTCCGCTCTCTGTTGGTGTCGCTGGCTTCACGTGACCCGGAGCCAGTTCTCGGCGCTACCTTATTAGGGCAAGGCTCCGTACTTGGAAAGGTGGAGCGGGATGGAGGAGGTACTCGGTTTTATGCGCCATCTCCTGCCGCAGAGCCAATCCTAGTAAAAGAGGGCTTGGCTCAAGAAGTCAAATAGAAATGTGTTTCAGTGATCCCGTGTTACAACTAAAAATGATGCAGGGTCATCCGGAATTCACTCGCGATCATTTCAGCGTCCGATAAGGCGATTAATTCATAAGACACATATTTATCAAGAGCCTGCTAAGTACCAGGTACTATTGTAGATTCTGCGGAGACAGCAGTCGTCACAACAAAAACAGAAAGGTGAAAGTCATTTCACCTGGTTAAGCCTCAGGCAGTCCATATTTGCAAAAGTGCTTAGCTCTATCCAGGCACACAGGAGACATGAGTAAAAATCAGAATCTGAATTGTAAAATGCAGGTGCTGGGCTCCAGGCTTCTGCCTACACAGCACTCCGATTTGAGTTAAGAAAGCAATATCCCTCCAGGGACACCTGGGCTAACGTGCCGCCTCTCGCCTCTCCGCAATGAAGCAGACACAGATAATACACATCCACACATCTGTGGAGTAGGCATACGGCTCCCAGCTTTGGCAATGCATTAGAACCACCTGGGAATCCAAACACTGCACTTATGATGGGGTTCCATCCTCAGTTAAATTAAATTCCTGGAGATGAAAGCTGGAAATGGTATTTTCTTAAAGATCCTCACGTGTTGCTAACATGCAAAAACATTGATACAGAGTGAATAAAATGAATCCTTGAGGGCAAGGAGCTTTGATTTTATAATTTATAAGGATTTTTAATATTTCCTAACTACTTAACACAGAATTATAGGTCTCCAGAAACATTTGTTTATTCATTTATCTGCAGCAAACTGTGAATGAATCGTCCCTGGTCTTCCTACCAAAATCAGGACCCAGACTAGTTCGGGTGGGTTTGGCTCTATGCTAAGCTTTGCATCCCCTCCAGAGCAATAGAGAGGGTGCTGTTACATCCTTTCTTCATTCCCAGCCCCAGCTATTTCCAGAGCCCAAGACCTACCCCCACCTCATGATCCCTCTCTCCAGAGGAGATTGACAAGCCAAAGTCTCAAACTCTACCACCTCCTCTGCAGAAATGTGCCTCTCCCACTTTTGTCAAACACTCTTCCATTATACTAAATCACAGTCTCTCCCACCTCCCTAGAGACCTCTGTCCATCATTCTGTCCATCACTCTTGGATCTGGACAAAGTAATTAGGGCTCAGGAGAAAAAAATTAGAGCCATAAGAAAAGAATTGGAAAATAATTTTCTGTTTGTAAGTCATATGACATGATAGCATACTTGGAAAACCTGAAAGAATCAAGTCTTAAATTCATACTATAATATGAGATTTCTGTATAGGAGCAGCATATAAAATTAACATACAAAAAATAGCCTTTGTATTTACAATGACAAACTAGAAGATACGGACATTAATTACAGTAACAACAGAAAATAAAAAAGAACTTAGGAATAAACTCAAAAAGTGTACAAAAACCTACATGGAGAAAATTATAAGACATTTCTGAAAATACAAAAGTAGACTTGAACAAATGCAAAGAAATCGCTCCTCTTTGGATGGGATGACTCAACATCACAGAGATGTCAATTTTCTCCAAGTTCATGTGTAAAATTTAACACAATCTTAATTTTAAAACCCAAATATTTTCTGAGGCTAGACAGGTTGATTCTCAAGTTTTTATGATGAAATAAACAGCAAGAATGGCAGACCGAGGGGACAGCCAGCCTCTACCAGATTTTAAAACAATGTGCGTGAACAGACAAATAGATCAATGGAGCAGCATGTTCAGAATTAATCTAAAAATAGGCAAAGTACATACAAAATTAGTGTATGCTTAGGATGACATCTCAATCTGATGGGGGAGAGGTGGAGTTTTTAATAAATGGTGTTGGGGCCGTTGGACAGCCATTTGAAAACAGATAAAATTGGATATGTACTTCCTGGTGTATATCAGATTAAAAAATGAAAACTAAAAGCCTAGAGGAAATAATGAGATAATTTCTTTATAACCCAAAAGTGGAAAAAGCCTTTGATGACTGTTACTAAAAATCCCGAAAATCAAATGAAAATAATGATAGATTTGACAACTTAAAAAAATTTTTTTCTGCCTAAGAATAATGAACACCAGCATGCTACCTTTTGTGTAAAATAAAAGGTTAAATAAGAATACATATGGGGGGCACCTGGGTGGCTCAGTCAGTTAAGCGTCTGCCTTAGGCTCAGGTCATGATCCCAGAGTCCTGGGATCGAGCCCCGCATCGGGCTCCCTGCTCAGCGGGAAGCCTGCTTCTCCCTCTGCCTCTGTCATTCCCCTGCTTGTGTTCTCTCTTGCTCTCTCTCTCTCTGACAAATAAATAAACAAAATCTTTATTAAAAAAAAAGAATACATATGGGTGGCTTAGTCAATTAAGCATCTGACTCTTGATTTTCACTCAGGCTGTGATCTCAGGGTTGTGAGATTGAGCCCCATGTTGGGTTCCACGCTGAGCATGGAGCCTGCTTAAGATTCTCTCTCCCTCTGCCCCTGCCCCCATGCTCAAGCTCTCTCTCTCTTTAAAAAAAAAAAAAAGAATACATATGTGTGTATATTCATATTTGCTTAATTTTGCGAAAAGAGGGAAAGAGGAAATCTGAAATTAATGAAATGGCTAACTGTGGCAGTGAGGCGGGGTAGGGGTGGAGATGAGGTGGTAGCAACAGAAAATTAGGTGAGAATCCTCTGATAAACTTTTATTTAGGGGCAAGCAAGTTTTGTGGGGCCTGAAACACATTCAGTCTTGGAGGATCTCTTTAAGAATCTATCACTTACATGTGGAATCTAAAAAAAAAAAACAAAAACAAAAATTCATAGAAAAAAGAGATACAATCTTTCTTATAAGGAAAAGAGTTTTTTTCTTTTTTTCTTTCATTTTATTGTATCTATATGAGAAGATGGGTGTTAGCTGCATCATTTCACGGCATATGTAAATCAAACCATCATATTGTATGCCTTTAACTTATAGAATAATGCATGTCAATTATTTTTCAATAAAACTAGAAAAAATTATAGGGAAAAAAGAGTGTAAAGGGGTCCTGAGACCCCATTTGAGAGCTTTTGAAAATGTTTGTTTAGGGATTAAATGTGATTATCTCCTAGAATAATGTCTACACAGAATAGGCGGGCATTCAACAAATGTTTTTTAAAATGACATTGATTTAGAGGGGAGGGGGGTGCGAGGATGGGTTAGCCTGGTGATGGGTATTAAAGAGGGCACGTTCTGCATGGAGCACTGGGTGTTATGCACAAACAATGAATCATGGAACACTACATCAAAAACTAATGATGTAATGTATGGTGATTAACATAACAATAAAAATTTTTAAAAAAATGACATTGTGATATGGCAAGAACAGTAAGTTTATTATGCTTTCTTTCCTGTCCTTATAATTTGTTACATAATACAATGTAAACATACAAAAAAGGAAGAAATGAAGTATAATTTCTATGTTGAGTAGAGATTAGCCTGTATAAATATTATGATGACATTTGACCCAATAAAAATAGAAAGTTTAAAAAATACAAAATTATGAATATAAAAGTGGGCATGAAAGTAGACATTTATTTAGAATGGAGAAATAGTAACAAATTACCAATTTTAAATAGCTGACAAATACCACAGACATCACAAAATCCAGAGAAATAACATAATATTTCTATTAATTAATTCTGACCCATCTATATGATATCATAGATTAACTTCTAGCTTGTGTATATTGTTGGAGAGGGAGAAATTTCCTTCTCTACCCCACTTCCTAGTGTTATGCTCCCTAGTTTAGGAATTAAATTGATATGAGATAGATTAACAAGAAAAAAACCAAAGTTGTATTAAGTGCACATGAAGGCCCAATATTAAATTGAGACCTAAAGAAATGACCAAGGCAGGCAGTTTTTATACATATTGGACCAACAGATAATAAATTTGTAAGAAATTGACAGGATAATGAAAACAGATGCTTGGGAGGTTTAACTAGTAAGGAATTCTAAGCAGAATTTGGGCTGAGGTAGTCAGAATAAAAAGTAGCAAGGTTGGGGCACCTGGGTAGCTCAGTCAGTTAAGCACCCGACTCTTAATTTCAGCTCAGGTCATGATCTCAGGGTCATGAGATTGAGCCCCACATGGAGCTGGGTGTCAGGCTCTGTGCTCAGCACAGAGTCTGCTTGAGAGTCTCTCCCTCTGCCCCTCCCCCTGCCTGAGCTCTCTCTGTCTCTCTCTCAAACAAATAAATAAGTAAATAAACAATCTTTTTAAAAAAATAACAAGGTTTATTTCCACAGCTTTCTCAGTTTTGAATTCCCTATCTCTGGTGATAAGGATGTCATTTTACTTCTTAGCTTGGGGAGGGTATTTTTCATATGGGAGATTTATTTCCTGCTTTCGGGGGGGACAAAGGAGACTCTGAGTGTCTTATACTGGCTGTTTACTAAGTAACTTTTACTTAAAATAATCAATATGCCAAAGGGGCACATCTGGGGGCAGCCTGCCCTTTGCCCCTACAATATTAAGCCCTGTTTCTACCAGAACTACCTAAATACCTCATTCAAAGATAGACTCCACATGTTACATTTATATCACATTACATTCACTGGCCCTGGAACTTCATGTCACATCACTGGGTGAGAGGCCGGTATTCCTGCAAGTCATTTGTCTCCTGGTTGGCCAGCAGTAACCATGGGTGGAGATAACTGCAGGTACATAAACGTATATCAGTAACTATATCCCCCATTCAACTTTCCCTTAGCCAAATTCCTAAAATATGTGGGACTGCTCTAATACCATCTGACAAAGAGATGTCACTGTG